CATAACATGCACAGCGCGCCAGATCCCTTGGATCTGCTTACTTACGCGTTTGACATTGATCAGATGGTTCACATTATTTTGGTTTTAATTTTATTTTACTGATTTTATATTTAAATTGTTTTAAACTTCAAAAGTTCATAAAAAAATCATTTTAACTTCTAAAATTCTGAAAAAAAATCTCAAAAATACTTTTGGTTTTTCTCTTTCTGATTTTTATTTTTTCACAATTGTATTTTGTGATTTGGTTTTTTTAATGATTTTTCACTTTATTTGACTTGTTTTAATTGTTTAAAAATACTTTTCTTGATTTTTAAATTCTAAAAAATTTATGGAAGGATCCAATGACCTCTTGACAAATATTGGTGCCCGTATTATATTTTTATTTCTGATTTTACTATTATTTACAATTTTTGGTTTATTTTTCTTATTTCTTTGAGCTTTAAAAAATAGTTTCTGACTTTAAAAAATTTTGAAAATTTTTGTCAACACTTATTGAATTATATTTGACCTTTGACTATTTTTTTAGGATTTTTATTTGGTGTTTTAATATACTTTGTATATTTTACCAATTATCTACTTTTTATTAATCATTTAAATATTGTTTTATTGAATATTATTTTATTATTTTTGATTGGTCCTGATTTTAGTGTTATTTTTGGACAAGTTACTCAACCTCATTAGATCTTGGATGTTGATAGGTTGAAAAATCTGATCCACCAAAATGGATGAATGATGTTGATGATATTTGAAACTCTAATTTCATTTGATACATCCCCTCTCTCTTCATCTTATCTCTTTCTTACTTGTGCTACATGTTGTTGGAGAATAATCTATATATCATTTCTCTAACATGTGGTACATAGATTGCTATTGACCGACCACAAAATAGGTGTGACTTCTACATAAGTCCATTTACGATTGCTTAACATAGCGTTAAATTTGTCCTGATTCGAAAAATGATCATTCGTGACCCAAACCTACGTTTGCAAGCCCAAGTATGTTTAATTTGAAACATTTGATCCAATAACCTGGAGGATCAATATTAGTAGGTTTTGATCTTATCAATCCTCTAATGAACTTTCATGAATTTTGGTCTAAGTGAATCATTTAAACATCGTTGATCATATATGCTTGCCTTGAGTGCTTGAAATGAATGATATACTTGACAAAAAGCAAATGAAACTTGTTATTGAGAAGCTTTGATTTTATCAATCTTCTAATGAGTTTTCAAATACAAGTTTCAAGATGGTCATTCAACTAACCTCTAACTTTAATTCACTAACAATTGATTTTATTTTGTGATTTTACTTTATGCCCCTTTATTTTATGCCTTTACTTTTATGCACCATTTATTTTAGCATTTACATTTCATGCTATTTTCATCTTTTCTCACTTGAGCATTTATCTTTATGTCATTTTATCTTTGCTCATTTGAGCATTTATCTTTATGTCTTTATTTTAGTTTGCTCACTTGAGCTTTCTTTTCTTTTTTGAAGAAACTTAATAACCAACTTGAACATTAAAAGCTTTAAGGTTACTTGGACTATTTGGTTACTATTCTTGGAATTATAGAGTTGTGGACTTCTTGGACTTAGGATTAGAAGCCCTGATACCCTTGGGACCTTGTGACTTTGTTGTTATTTTATCTGAAGTTCTTAGGGTTTACTCCAAGACATTGGGTTGATTTTCTTTGTGTGCAAGTTATTTTGATTATATGTTTTGTCTGTGATTGAGAATTCCTCTGTATACAGCTGTTACTCTATCCAATTTTTGTGAAGACTTAATGCATCTGAAGCTTGGTATTCTTGAGAGATTTAGTATCTTTTCTTGCTTGGTTTCAATTCAAAGGATGAGAATTCTACATTGACTTATTTATGTCAAGTGTTAGCTTCTAGTTGGTTAGATGGTTCTTTTCCTTGGCTTTTACTTTATGATTTAGGATAGTCCCTTCATCTCCTCCTATCTTCTTTAGTTTCAAAAATCTTCTCCCTCCTTTTCAAAACTCTTCTTATTTTCTAACTTGAACCGCTTTCATAACAAACTTGGACTTAGGTCCGTGCATTTTCAAAAAAATATTTTCTTAATCAAACTTTAACCAACTTAATCGTACTTTGACATTTTTTTGGTGAGAAGACTAAAAGTCAATCAAAATCATTCAAATCATTTTTCCACTTTCGCTTTTTACTTTAAAACTTTTTCTCAAAAGATTAGACTCTTGTTGATTCTTATAGTGATGTGAGCTACTATACTTCTATGATATATAGTGAAGTGAGATATTTTCCACTTGGGTGTTGAGTGAGGCTTTGTTGATTTTAAAATCCAAGTTATATCCTCCACTTTGAGATGATGCAGATTCTCCTTTCTCATAATCGTGGGTAGTAAGTATGTCTTCCACTCGGATATGACGATGATGTTTATTCTCTTAAAATTAACCAACCCACATGTGTTTTAAAATTTTCCAGGTGAACTACGAGTATCCTGATCCTCTATTACACGAAAATTGGCATGTAGGAACTAAAGGTTCACAATCACAGCGGATGCAAAATTTGTAAAAAAATACTTCTTTTCTCATCTCTATCATCCTATTTTTATATACACATTTTATAGCTAAAATACACAAAATTTCAAAGAGGTTCATGCGGAGTACCATAGATGTTTAGGGTGCTAATACCTTCTCTTTGCATAACCAACCCCCGTACCTAGATTCTCTCCCCATCTCTTTTGGGTTTATTCGCTCTTTTCCCATTTTCTTTGGAAACAATAAAGAGCGGTGACGATTTTTATTTGATATGTGCGAGTTAAGTCAATCCAATGACTTAGTCTCAACATTTCTACCGCTACAGGTGTACAAAGTGAAGGCTAATCTTAAAGGTGAAATGATCAAGCATAAGGTTAGATTAGTTGCAAGAGAATTTTTGCAAAGAGAAGGCATAAACTTTGAAGATGTATTTGCACTAGTGGCTAAAATTAAAATCATGGGACTAGTTGTTGGTATTATAAATTATAACAATTGGTTCATCTACCAAATGGATGTGCGTTTTTGAACGGTCCAATAGAAGAGGAAGTGTATGTGGCATAACCACTGGGTTTTATTCTAAAAAATCAGGATTCTAAGTTCTATAGATTAAGGAAGGTGTTGTATGGTTTGAAGCAAGCACGAAGAGCTTTGAACATGAAAATTGATGGGTTTCTAATGGATATATGATTCAATAAATGTGAATCTGAACATGGTGTAAATATGAAGAAAGATACAAGTAAAAGAGTGATAATCCTATGTTTCTACGTCGATGATTTACTAATTAAGGACATCAACGAAGATTATATTACCGAATTCAAAGGTGATTTAATGAAGGAGTTTAAGATGACTGACCTTGGCCTCATGGCATACTTCTTTGGCATTGAGTTTTACAATTCCAAAAAGGGACTGCTCATGTACCAAAGAAGGTGTGCACTAGAGATGTTGGAGAAATTTTAAATAGAGCATTGTAATATGGACATTACCCCTGAGAACCAAGGTTGTAGCTGTCAAAAATAAAGACGAGTATGATATTAATCTAACGCAGTACATGAAGTTGGTTGGATCATTGTGGTACTTGTGTAATACGAGAACATACTTGGCATATATCATGAGCATAATAAGTAGATTTATGGGGAAGCCAAAGGCATTACACATGATAGCAGTCAAGAGAATTCTAAGATATGTCAAAGGTTCGATTGGTTGCAGAATTTTATTTCCCGTAACAGATAAAGGTAGAAGCTGCAAATTACTCCGGTATACCAACTCAAATTTGGGTATTACAAAAGCAAAGATCAAGGCGCCGATTTTCTAACCAAAGGAGTGACAATTAAAGTGTTGAAGAGGTTGAAGAAGCACATGGTATGGAAGACCTGAAAGACTTGAATTAAGATGATGTGTTAAAAGAAAAATATAATCCAAGTAGGGTGTAATCGATTACAAGTTTTGTATAACTGGTTACCACCTTGGTTTTACCACATTCCTAGAATTAGAAAAAAATCAATACTGTGGTGTTTATAATCGGCTACAAGTTTTATGTAATCAATTACATGGTTGGATTTTTTTTCTTCATATAATCAGTTAATTGTGCAATTATGCATTGATGTATAACTACCTCAATTTAAATTATTAATAATAATACCTCTATTTTCCCGAAATTCTCTCTATCACACACTTATTCATCATACTATTGTGATTGGGCTTTACCCCAACAAATTTGTGATTAGAAGTGGATGGAGCAATGATTAGAATAATGGTTGATGACAGTTATAATGATAGTGAGAGTTGGTTTGAAAGAATATCATAAAAAAAAAAAAAAGTAATAAATGAAGATATCATCTTAGTTATAATTGAAGATTACTAGTTGTGGTTGGTAATAGATTAGAGTGATGGTTGATAATGGTCAGAGTGTCGTCTTTAGATTTAACATTAGAACAAAAAATATATAAAGTTTATTTATTTTTGTTGAATTTTAGTTCAAAACTCTGAAAATTAAATCAAAAACCAATTCAACCTTAAAATAAAATATAAAGTTTATTTTATAGAAGACTAGTAGGCTGAATTCAATATTCATGATGAACAACACAACAGTATATGGTTGGGCCTTCAGAAAGTGAAGAAGCCCATAATGGTCTAAAGACGCAGAATAAAGCCCAATGTTAGAGTTCCGATAGCATACCCAACATTTTCATATCTATTCTTTCACACACTTTTGTACGTTTTATTAACAGTTAATAGCCCAATTTACAACAGAAAAATAAAAAAGAAAGTCAAGTACCTAAGTTCACTAAATTCAGTTTAAACAAACAACAAACTGAAGAAATGAGTTTAGAGTTTCACTTGAGCAGCTTAATTTAGAGAGGTTAACATTCAAATTAAGAACCTAAGTTACACCTAAAATACACATACAACTAAAAAAAGAGACACACATTAACATGATTTTTCCACATGAATCCACAACATCTTCACTATTTCTAACCAACAACTAAAAACTCTTGAGAAACAACCAATGACTATGTTTTTTCTCAATACTCTTCTCCTTAATAGTATCCAAACTAGGCTTCCATACTTTCCCTGAAATCTGCCTATTCAAATAATCAGGCCTCCCTTCCAATATTTCCGGAAAATTCTCCGAAAAATCACGTATCTCTCCCTTCTCCTTCTCCTTCTCCTCCTCCTTTCTCCGCGGCTCCACAATCTCACTACTATGACATAAACTACTAAACCAAGGAAAAAACTTAGAAGAACACAAAACAGAATTAACCATCAACAAAACGCGCCGAGTTTCGTCGCCGCTTAAACCAACAGCCTTCCCTCGCTTCACCGGAAGCATCAGATACATCTTATTCATCTCTAGCTTCTTGTCAGCAGGCAATGGTGCTGGCCTTTTCTGGCTCACAGCTGAATGAAACTCAACTACTACTTTCTGTGGATGATCCATCATTAGCTCGGCCGCAGTTATCTGTTCCTCGAATTCATGAACTGAACCATCTAAGAAAACAACTTTACCTCTTGAATCTGAAGGTCGAAACGAGATTTGGTTTCCCATGATAATGTTCTAATGAATGTGATTCTGAATTGAGTTAAACTATATAGTATATAATCGTAGAATTTGATGTTTGTTTAAGTTGCGCTATCTAGTGACGCATATAATCCTCCTTTTTTATTTGGCATGGTCGTTAATAATCTTGATGTCAGTTATAACATCACTTTAGATTTTGACTTGTTGAATATACTATGTATAGTATACTATACCACATTTTTTTCATTTGCTTAGCTCAATCATATTGTAATAGTTACATTTAATGTGTGTTGTAATCTTTATTTATAGATAAGGATGGTGATTAGTAATCATGTTTACCAAACAGGAAAATGAATTTGAAGGAACAGTTCAACTAATGTAGATTATTATGGGTGTATGTTACATTGTCACGTCTCACCTTGTTAAAATTATGTTTTTATAGTTTGTAGGTTGTATAATTATAAGTAGGGTGGAAATAGTACAGGCTCAGATAGGTTAAAATTTCAAAGCTGTTTTGTACTCTATCAAATATTTGTTTTTAAGTTTGAGTTTGATTTTTTCGAAATTATAATTCATTTATTAGTCTACACAAAAGATTATTTTATTTAAAAATTTAAGCTAGCCTTAGACTCTCTTATTGGCATGTCCTATTTCCAATTTTAATTGAAAGTGATAAATTAAAGTGTGTGGAGTGGATGCGCATTCACTGCATTGGATGCATACCAATATTTTACGTTAACTATGATTGATCAGATGTGTAATCAAGGGCGTGAGTTATGAGCAATTGATTTGTTTAAAAGCTTTGTGCAATCAACTGCGTGAATTGTGAGCAATTAGGGTGCGAATTCACTAGGCCAAGCTATGATTTGTAAGGTTTAAGTCTAATAACTATTCAAAAAAATCAAGATCAGATTTTTGTTAGAAAAAGTAAAATCTCAATTAATCATTATTGAACTGGTTCTCATAGGCCCACCTGAGAGTTATACGAGTTATATTTGTCATCTAAATTTTATTTGGACCAACAGTTGCTAATTGGGCTAAGGATGTATACAGAAGATATTATTTTACTAGCCACTCATGTACCTTTCACCCCTACACCTTTACTCCTTTCATAATTTACATTTAAAAGTTATACTCACAAATCCTCTCAATTTTAACCAAAATCTGACCTTTACTCCTTTCATAATTTACATTTAAAAGTTATACTCACAAATCTTCTCAATTTTAACCAAAATCTGATGCCAAATCGGCTAATGCTCCCAAATTGATGCAAAATATTCTACCATTTAACTGAAAACTTTATTATTGATATATCGATCTGTCCAACACAAATTGAAACATGAGTCAGTTCGATATGAAGCCTTTGAAAATGGTATAAAATAAAAAAATGTGATAGAAGAAATTTAGAAATATATACTGACAGAAACATGTGGTAGTATTTCTATTGCATTTTTTTCTTAAATACAATATATTCCACGTTAATGGAAAATGTGGTATCTACTGCATTTTGTCACACCCACTAAAAATACAGCATGTTAAAATGTTTTTTATATTGTTAGTTTTTTTTTTTGTAGTTTAAAAAATGAATCTCAGTGAAATATGTGTCTCTTGAGATTATAGTGACATTTTTGTATAGTTAAGATTACAATAATACCTATATATGATCGAGATTATACAAATATTTTGTGTGATCTAAAATGATTTAACTGTTCAAAATACGTTTCAGTTGGTCTTTGTAAATAATGAGTAATATGAATCAATATTACTACCTTGCATTTGTTTACTTTAATGGTGTTTACCTTCTATTTGATTTTAGGATTCCTAAGAGTATTAATCTATTATATATGAAGTCTAAACTCTAAAATATCTTAAACAATGACAACGATTGAAGGGTGGTCAAGATCGAATATAAGTCTCCCTCAATTGATGTTGATGGCAAAAACTAAGTTTTAGTCATTTTCATCTCAATACAATCAAAAGATTAAAATAATGTTTCACACATTTCATTCTACGAGATTAAGGACTATTGAGATGTCTGCGACATTTACAAGGCCAGAAAATCATATTCTTAAAATGATGTAACATCCCTCCATTCGCGAATCAGAAATATTAATGAACGAATGACATGAACTCTTTACGCGGTGGTGTAGAAAACAAATGTGACAACATAGGGGTGGACCGACAAGATTAGCACTCCAACGTCCAAATCAATACACAACATCCCTTTGTGTTGTAAGAATGTTACTGGTTTTTAAGATTATTGTGGTGGTAGAGAAAGCTCATTGGGGGATGGTGAGAAGCTCATTATACCAGTGCTTTTCGGGTGAATTAAATATCTCTCTCTCAACTTCAAGGTTGAAGTATTTATAGGAATCTATTGAGTTTGAATCTTAGTCTCCAAGAAAGTAATACCTAATCATACGAGCGTGGGAAGCAGGTAGTTACCTCCCATATTATTCTAGAGAACATGTTGTAGCGACCGACTTTAAAAAATTTGCGTTTAAACATGAGTCACCACCCACTACTTGTTTTACCCTAATGAAAGGACAGTGAAAGTGGGAAACCCTAAAAATAAGAGATATCATGATAAGTAGGTAAATTAGGAAAATGGAAGGTTTTAGACACCCTTTACCTCCCTTGTACTCAATGGGGCCCATTTAATCTTCAGGTTTGAAAAGAATGAGGTTTTTAGATTTTATCGGGATTATTGTCTTATTGTCACATATTATCATATATTGCGTTAAAAGGGAAACACATAAAAAATTTATAAGCAAATAAAATCACAAGGAAAACAAAGTTTTAATTTTTAGTGAAAAATAAAATTGAAAGTAAAGGTGGGCCTCATATCAAAGATTTTATCATCGGCCAAAAAGATAAAACCATAGGGATTGAAAACAAAGTTTTGAAGAAAAAAAACAAGGGGGGGCTCTCATATGCAATCATCTGTCTAAATTATCTTTAAAAATGTAAAAAAGCGAGAAATTTTTTCAAAAAGTGTTGAAGTGTGAAATTGGAAATTTATGAATTTTGGTGGATGATTGTTGATTGTATAACCGTAGATTTCGTGGACAATTCTTGAGAAATTGTTGGTAACTGTTTGGTGTCTGTTAAAGACAACAACATAGTTATCTATTTAAGACAACCCTAAAATAAACCAAAAGAAGAAAAAAAGCATAGAAAAAGTGAGAGAGATAAGAGAATTCTTCCTCCTTAAACTATGTAAGTAGAAGGCTATTTATAGGTGAGCATTAGGTCAAAAATTAAATGAAATTGATATATTTTTGACATGATTTTGAAGAATAAAAATTGATTGTGAATTGATTCAAGTCTTGGTGAGCAAGACTATGAATCTGGATGGTTTAGTGACCCGGTGCAAGATTTGATTTGACAAGAATTTGATTTGAAAAGATTTTATTTAATTTTTAAGATTTTTGACTATTTTTTACATAAAATAATGTTTTTAATTAAAAATAATATTTTAAAATATACTAAATATAGGAAAACGAAAATACTATTTAAATAATTAAAAAACATGATTTTTGTGATTTTCAAAACAATTAAAAATGGAAATAAAGTTAATAACAAATAAACAGAAAAAATATCCAAAGTGCACCAATGGAGATTCGAAACCATGACCTCATACTTGCAAGCTTCATTCCTTACAAAATGTGTTATGTTACTCATTTGAAATAAAAACCCAATTGAAATTATATGAAAGTGAACAAGTATTTGTTATTTAAAATACAAATAATTTAAAATAAACTATTATACATTTTTAAATGAGTGAAATAAATTATTGTTAAAATGTTAGTAAGATTAAACCAAAAAATATTATAAAAATCAATATTGAAAATATTTTTGACTGTAGAAATAAATGGAAGACAAATTTGGAGTATGACAGCTACCCCTATTTAATTACTCTTTGATTGAAGGATGCGAGAATATGCAGGTCTCGCACATTCAAATCGGAGGGTTATCAAATAATGGAAGACTCCAAATTTTGACTCATGGTTAGCTAGATAAGGATATACTGTAAAACGTACTCCAGAGAATGAAGAAAGATAGGCAAAGATGATGATGTATTATTTTACCAGAGTTAGTGCAAGAAGTATGGCGATGCGGATAACTATCTAATATCTAGAAAAGTGATCATAGATTTTTACGTATTTACCACGCCCTAGGAGGTAAATAACACAAATTTGAAAATTGACTTACTAATGCTTCAAGACTAACATAGTAAGCTTGACGCAAATTTTGTCTATTCATCACAACCTAGGGAATGAATAAAATAGAGCTTGATAATGCATTTCCGTATGGAGACTAACACAATGAATTATATTGTAGATTTCGTATATTTACTACAACCTATAGAGTAAACAATATGAGGATGAGCTTGTGCATTTATCATGATCTAGAGGATAAATGGCACAAGGATAGGCTTATGTATTCATCACGACCTAGAGGATGAATAATATAACCCTGAAAATTCGCATACCTATCATAACCTAGAGGATAGATGATTGAAAAAGTTTGTGTTTATCACGACCTAGAGGATAAATGACATGAAGATAGACTTGTGTATTCATTACGACCTAGAGAATGAATAACATAAACCAAATAATTTGTACATCTACCACAACCTAGAGGATAGATGTCACGAGGATAGACTTATGTATTCATCACGACCTAGAGGATGACTAACATAAACCAGATAACTCGCATACCTATCACAACCTAGAGGATGGATACTACGAGGGAGAACTTGTGCATTTATCACAACCTAGAGGATAAATGACACGAGAATAGACTTATATATTCATCATAACCTAGAGGATTAATAACATAAACCCGACAATTTGCATACCTACCACAACCTAGAGGATATATATTTGAAAAGTTTGTGCATTTATCATGACCTAGAGGATAAACGACACAGAGGTAGGCTTACGTATTTATCACGACCTAGAGAATAAATAACATAATCTAGATAATTCTCATACCTACCATGACCTAGAGGATAGATACTT